TTCACTGATGACGACACCTGGGCACACAGGGAGAACAGCCCAGCAGCTTTTCCTGACAGGCAGAATGTGATTCCAACAGCCTTATTCCACCTGACACCCATCCATCCCAAGGCCCAGCCTGGCCCTGAGGTCCAAATCTATGATTCCAACACTGGAAAGCTCATCAGAATGGGTGTGCACGGCCCCGTGCCAGGGTCCCCCAGTTCCCTGTCTGTCCACAGGGAGCCCACCACCTTCAGAGCTGTTCTGCCACATCAGCAGCAGATGTTTGGTGAAGAGCTTCCCGATGCTTGAGATGGAGAGCAGCCTGGCCCTGCCAGAAGAAAGCGCCAGCCCAGTATGTCAGAGACAATGCCGCTGTATACTCTTTGTAAGGAAGACTTAGAGAATATGGACAAAGAGAGGCCACAAAAGGAAGTTGAATGACGAGGATGCTGCCAGTGAGTCCAGCAAGGAGTCCAGCAATGAAGATGGCAGCAGCTCTGAGGCAGACGAGATGGCAGCGGCCCTGGAGGCTGAGCTGAATGACCTTACGTGACTTTGGGCCCACTTCATGTGCCCTGTGCCAGCCCTTGGTCCCCTTTCTCCACAAAGACTTGTATTTTCTAGAGCTCCACATACAGAAACACATTATTTTGCAGAAACAGGTGTTTTTAAGAGGTTTTACTATAGGAAAGTCTACTTTTTAAAGTGACAAAGTGTTATGGGAATTGGTGTGCTATGCCAAAGAGCTCAGCAGAGCCTCACATGTAGTTGAGACTGGATATTTGTGGTTTCTTGTCACATAGTAAGGGTTATTTTCCTTTGGGGGATCCCTTTAAATACCACAGTATATTATTTAGGGTGAAGACTGTGGGAGAGCCAATAAGACTTAAAGAATGATATAGCAAGAACCTGGCATCTTGTCTTGCTTTCTCACAGCTGAAGCTGAAGTTTTGAAGGATTTTTAAATGAAACAGCAATGTACATGTGTACAGAACAGCAAGAGCTACAAACAGCCTACAAGATCCCAGCTGATTCCATGTCCCTCAGAGGATCTGCAGGTGACCTTCGGCCTCCAGCATGGGTCCCTCTGCAACTGGGCTGACAGCGCCCATATCCTCCCACAATGGGGGTTTTGATGAAGGGGGGCTTCCCTTTTCTTGGGTGGCCTTATACTTCTCTGAGAGATCTGCTGTAAAGTTTTTGTATATCTATTTCATATTTGACCCATAAAACATTTTTCTTTCATTTAAAAAAAAAAGCTTCTCGGAACTGGGTGTGACATGCCTGTAATCCCAGCACTCTGGAAGGCTGAGGCAGGAGGATGATCAAATCCCAAACAAGCCCCAGCAACCTAGTGAGACCCTATCTCAAAATAAAAAAATAAATAAAAATAGGGCAAGGGATTTCATTCAGTACAAAGGCCCTGGTTTCATCCCCAGTACTGCAAACATCATAAAACAAAACAAACATATTCCTTGGGTGGTTCTACTTTATTGCCAGCATTAAAAAGCACCACTCTAGACAGGTGTGATGGCACAAACTTGTAATCCCAGCACAGTAGGAGCCTGAGGCAGGAGGATCACAGGTTCGAAACCAGAGTGAGCAACTTAGCAAGACCCAGACTCAAAATATAGAAAGGCTGGTAATGTAGCTCAATGTGAAAGCCCTGAGCATCCCCAGAACTAAAAGACGATCTTGGGCACACAGTGAAAGGAGCAGAGACAAGAGTTGTTCATAATGAGGTTAAATAGATGGATGGGCAGATACCAGATAACCCAGGACCTGGAGATGATGTCAAAGGTTTTAATTCAATCTTCAAAACAATAGGGAATCATAAAAAAAAGTTCTAAGGAAGTGACAATTACTGTGTAAACAGATCTACAGAGTTAAATTTTTGCTAGCATTATGCTATACAAAGAATGCCTGCTCCTGTCAAGTGTGGTACACACCTATAACCCGAGCCTTTAAGAGGCTGAGGTAGAAGGATTGCAAGTTCAAGGCCAGCTTGGATTAGATAGGGAAGGAAACCCTGTCTCCAAAAAAAAAAAAAAAAAAGCAAGCAAAGAAGTCTGATTAGTATTCAAGAAACTTGGAAATAATATTCTTACAGACTGATCACATTTTTCATTAAAAGCATTCACTAAAATCTCTCTACTTGAATCTCATTTATTTTACCAAGGCAAAATTGGAATGTAATTTGGCTTTCCAAGTGGTGCTTCCTATGAGGAAGAAACAGTACTGACTTCATAAGATCATTTGACAGCTTACATGTTTCACTGGAAATCAGAAAATTATATACAGCCCAGATTATTTTTTTATATAGCCCCTATTTATAGTTTTGTCAGCCCAGAAAGCACCCTCCTTGTGGAAATCTCCTATGTGGGAGGGCCACCAATCAACTTTACTCCCCTAGCCAAGGATTTGGAGACATGAGACTGGGCTTATTCATCCCTTCCTGGCGATTCTGACTGGTGGACACATGACCTAAATTGCATCAACACTCAAACCCTGCAGGATTTCAGGGAAGAGAGGTACTTTTGTCATTTTTTCATAAACAGGCTTTTTTTTTCTCCCTCCACACCTTGGAGAAGAAACAAAGAATAGACTGGGATAAAGTAGAGACCAGAACTCATGAGAGGCAGAGGCAGCTATGAATACAATACTTGTATCTTGTTGGGTCCTGCAACCAACCTAGAACACTACTTTTTCTTTCTGGATTTAGTCTCTGTCTGTCTCTCTCTGTGTCTCTTTCTCTTCCTCTCCCCTTTCTCTTTCCTTGCTTAAGCTAGTCTGAGCTGGTTTTTGTTACTTGCAACCCAAAGGGATCAAATATCAATAACATGAAAAAAGGTATGAACTGGCTTTCAGTCGATAATACTGCATCATTACCCATTGGGTTTTAAGCATTACCTCTCTCTCTCTGATAGAATGTGAAAGATACTTGGTTTTTGGCCCAGTTTCTATCACACACCTCCTTGTGTTTTCTAATTTTCCAGTAATAGAAGAGTATTTCAGTATTTACAATACGAAGAGTGGGGTGTCAGGTGGGGCTGGTCACCAGAAATACAATGGGATCAGAGGATGAGAATTTTCGGCTTCACCTATAGAACCCTGGGAAGGGGAAAAGGGTGGTGGGAGGGAGCTGGAGATTAATCTCGATTAACTCTGGAAAGAAATTTGATGAGCTTCTAGGCTGCTAAACAAGTAAGGGTCCAGAGAGCTGGTGTGTGCTGTCCCCATACACATCTCTTCCTTGTGGTTGTTTATCTGCATCCTTTGTAACATCCTTTTTAGCAAAAGGCTAAAAACACTTTCCTGAATTCTGTGAGCCATACCAGCAAATTAACAGTACTATGGCCATCTGAAGTGAGGCCCAGGGCAGTCTTGAGGGATATGAATATGAAGCCATCAGCCTCTAATTCTGATAGCGTCAGAACTGAATTGAATCATAGGGCATCAACTGGTGTCTGCTGGAGAAATGCCTGGCGTGGGGAAAAACCTCCTCATATTTGATAGAGAAACAGAGTATGTTTTCAACTGTCCCATACAGGAAAGAAGAAAACTTTTATAAAAGAATTTATAAGAATTTATATAAGAATTTATAATTTTGCAGGGATTTAATAGATACACAATAAAAGATTAAACGTGAAGTCTAAGAAAACTTCAAACTACAACTTTTAAGATTAGGAGAGAGAAAAATCCAGGTGTACTAAAAACCCTGTGTTCCCAGCACTCAGGCAGGAGGATCACCAAATTGGAGCCCACCCTGGGCAGATCAGCAAGGCCCTGTCTCAAACCAAAAAAGGGCTGAGGATTTAGCTCAGTGCAAAGGCTCTGAGTTCAATCCCTAGTACTGCAAAACAAACAAACGAATGAAGAAAGAGGATGCATTAGGAATCAGGATTCCAAGGTCCTCCTTGTCTTGTGGTACAGTGTTAATCTGGCAAGGCCCTTATTTTCAGTAAACTCGAATTTCTTGACATTGGGAATGCTGCTTATTTCTAAGGTTGCTTACAGTACTGAAATTACTAAATTATTTTCAATATATAATCCCATACTTCTTATTCACATTACTATATGTTAAGGGAAAAAGTGTAAATGCCTTTTTCATATTCTGAGTCTACTTTCAAAACATTAAATTCACAAGCATCACTATCACAGCAAGGGAGCCCTCCAAATCCGTGAACCCCAAATAAAGATACTCAAAGAATGGATTTGGAATAAAGCCAATGGTCTTCTAAAAAGGACAGCTTTATTTTACTAACTTCAAGATATTTTAAACTCTAGAAATTTTAGCTTTTAAAGCATAACCGAATATCCTTGTCCAATTACTAATTTAGTCTCCAGAAAGTTCTATCTTATCAGTTTCCAAAACCAGGAACTATAACAACAGATGAAAAAACAACAACAAAAACCTCTAATATAAACGTTACGCAAGGGAGATGGTGGAGTAAAAAGAATCCCGAATTAGAAACCCAGAAAAAGTATAAAGAATTTTACTCTCAATTTAACTTTCCTCCAAAGAGGAAGATTTCTGATTAAAGTTTTCAAGATTCAAATGAGGTAGCTTTGTGATATTTTGTTCTCTTGGTCACACTTTCTGCCTAGAAACAAAAACTTTAGGAAACAATTCGTGGGAGCACTTCAAAAGTTCTGGCCCCAGGTCTATTCCACACGTGGGGCCATGTGTCGCACAAGCGAACCGCTGACCCCAAAGCTATTCCTCAAGCTGGTGTTACAAATGACTTTACGTGGCACTGCTCCGCCGATAAAGGGTGACTCCAGGTAAGACCGAAGCCCTGGGGCCAGGGGGTCACCCCATCAAACGCTAGGACCCTGACGCAGCCCCTAAGCCCGGGGAAGGAGACTCGTCCAGGCGACCTCCAGGTTGCGCCCAGGGTCCCGGAAGCCTCCGGGGTCGAGGGGCTCCTCCGGGTGGGGCTGCGACGTCGGGCCTGGGGCGCCCGCGGCCGGGGCACAGGGAGGCCTGCGCGTGGCAACGCCGGCAGACTCACCTCGGCGTCGTCCTTGCACTGTGGGAGCGAGGGGAACTCCAGCTTCACGTCCTCCATGGCCCGGCTCGCGAGCGGGCGGGGTGGGCGGGGGAGCTCCCGCCGGCCCGACCCGCGGCGCCGAAAGGAAGGAGGGCCGGGGGAGCGGAGGGCGGAGGGCTCCCAACTAACACTAGCGGGTCAGGGCGCCCCAGCGATTCCAGGGGCGGCGGCGGCTACGGGGAAGAGGAGGGTTGGGCGGCTCGTGCCCGGCCGCCATGCTGCTGGCACCTCTCTCCTTCCCTCCCTCCCTCCCCCCCGAGTCTCCGCGCCCCTCAGGCACTCAGGATCCGGCACCAACACCCACCTTACAGCCGTCACCCCGCCTTCCTCCCGCCCCACCCACGCCGCCCCAGCCAATCCCAGCACACGTTCCTCTGGGCCCCGCCCCCCGCCGCCAGGTGTCAGCGCGCCGCCTCCCCGCCTCTTCGCGAGAGCGCAGACGCGAAGGCGGAGCCTCGGCCGGCGCGCGCCCGCGGGAGGAGGCGGGGCTGCGGCTGGGGGGCGGGGTCGACCGTGTGAAGGTCCTAGGAAAGGCAGTGGGGCGGCTGAACCAGCAGGGCCCTAGCCCGGGGTGAGACCCGCCTTCAGTGGGAGAGCAAACAGGCAAACATCCTGCCCACTAGGAACTGCCATCCGAAAGGAAATCGTTCAAGCTTAGAAATGGAAGAACCCATACTTCAAAAGATTTATACACTAGATTATTTAACAAAAACCACCAGCAGCACACAAGGAAAAAGGCGAGATTAACTAGATGCAAAGTCCAGTGGCTGAAGCGCATGCACGTGCGACTCAGGCCTCCCCCATTCTGTTACTTCCGTACTGGCCGTGTGTGCAGTGCACCAGCACACCCCATCTGCTGGATCATTGGACTATCAGAAGGTCGGCCTAACTGCCCGTGTTCGCTATCACTGTGTAAACTGACGTCCACTTTAAAAAATTGTGAATGGCAGAAAATATCCCTATAAGTTCAGAAGTTGAAGAATAATGGTACAGTTAACCAGGTCTTGTTTCACTGGTTCTTTAGGGTTTATGAAACTGAAATTGTTTTTCAACAGTACCCTTTAGCCGGGGATTTAGCTCAGTGGTTCTGTCGCCTGCCTTGGAACAAGGTCCCAAGTTCGATCCCCGGTACCAACCCCCCCCCCAAAAAAACAGTACCTTTTAACAATGGCTCAACTGATGCCCAGTGATGATTCCCTGATGTCATTTGTTAAAACTTATTGCCACATGAAATGAGAACTGTGTGTAGGTAACAGAACTTTTGGTTTGAACATTTCGGGTATCACCATCCCTAACATCAGACACTCCGCCTGTATCCCATACATATTTATAGACTCCATGGGTGAGCTTGGGGAATAATAAATCTCTTGAAATTACAGTATACGCAAAATTGTGTTGAGAATTTTTCTGGGAATAAGGTCCCAAGGGTAACATTCTCAAAAGGGAACTACTATACTAACAAAACCAAGTCATATTTATTAACTATTAAATATTACTTTTAATTACAATCTTAAAGTCATGGCTGTATAGAACTTTTTCAATTAAGTACCAGATAGCCTCATCATAGTGGGTGAAGAGTAGGTAAATAGTTTCTGGAAGGAAACCCATATATATATATAAATACACCTGTGCATTTATGTTATATATAGTAAGATGATGTTATGAACTTCAAGTGTTGGTACTGTTCTAAAATAAAATTCAAAAACCCACTATCTAATTGCAATTTCATCTAGGTTATCAAAATAAAGTTCACTTATGGAAGAACCTAAAAAGATCACAGTAAATGTACTATTACTATTAGAAAAGACAAGAATATGTAGAACTAAATCAAACAGGTTTTATTTGTTTTTTTTAGAATGAGGAAAACAAATGGTATAAAATAAGTCATAAGAAATGCTCTCATACTACCCTTTCAAACCATTTTTAATGTTTTACAAAATGCTCACACTCCAAATATGAAAAGCTTTAATATTCTTATAACTTCTGCTGCAATAAATGCAACATTAACATACAAATTTTTTCTGTACCAATTTTAAAAGTTGAATTACATACTAGTTTTTATGATGTTATTCACATACATTTTATTTATACACTTTTAATGAGTTCACTGCCAATACACACATTATTTTCCTTATTTTTACATTAAGTCAATATCTGTCATGCAGCCATCAAAAACCTTACAGTAAATTACACAGGTTTATAGTCCAATTTCGACTCTAGTTTCTTAGAATCAGCAACTTTTCTGACTGCTTTCATGAAGTCTTCCTGAACTACAAAATCATGATCAGCACGAATTGCAAACATACCTGCGGAAAATAAAATAACATAATTTCTATATATCATATGTGAATTGTATGTTCATTATAAGAAAACTAATAATATAATTATACAGGTTAAATTGGAAAGAGCCTAAATTTTCTCGTGAGCCAGTATTTTTGATTTGTTAAAAACCACTATTTTGGGGCCGGGGATTTACCTCAGTGGTTCCAGCGCCTGCCTCACAAGCACAAGGACCCGAGTTCGATCCCCCGGTACCAAAAAAAAAAAACGCACTATTTTTGTTCAATTAACTTACACAGCTATGGTAAGTATCATTTTCTAAACCAAAAGCAGGTGAGCCAATTACCTGAATATTTAAAAATTGGCTTGAATAATCCCTATATCTAACAGTACCCCTTAATAAAAACAAAAATAAAAAACAAACCTAAAACTATCAACAACACATACACATTTTAAGTGATAATATCTTAATGTTATAGGCAGCAATTCCCTGGAAGAAGTACATTTACAGATAAAAACAAATCTCCAATACTTTTCATAGCTGTTCCTTACTAAAAATCAAAGGCTTAGAGAACGGAAAATACAGAAACAATGGACTTTGACAATTGAAAAAAATAAAAGCCATCACTAACCTATTAAAATCTGCTTTATTTATACACAAATTAATATTTTATCTGACTTATATTCAAGTATTACAATTTAAATTTTTCTTACAAAATTCTGACAAATTATTGTCAAACACTATCTGACAAGGAGTAAAAAAGCTTTTTGTTGGATTCTTTTTCAATACTGGTTATGCGTGGATATGAGTCCCAGATTTTGAGACAATCTTATTTTTGTGATAAAGTGAAGAGGGTAAAATACTACCAATCACATGAATCATACTAAAATTTCCATTAAAGATTGTCTTGAATTGAGTTTTCCCTTACATGTAATAAGAGGGTTGGACTAGAAGGTTCCAAGAGTTACTTCCTTTTCTAGATTTCTATAGTAAGTTCTTTGGGAATAGCCATTTTATGTTGTCCTAGAAATCAGGTGAATGGAAATGACTGACATTTTAATAGAAAGTTTCAAACTTGTTTAGAAGGCTACAGCCAAGTAACGTAAGCTATTTTCATAAACCTTATTGATGACTGTTTTCAAATAACTGTTTACTAACAAATGACATACATTTCAATCTAAAAAGGATGTCAAGACTTAGATGAAAAAGGCAACCATTACTGAATCAAATGTATTTTAGTTTTGAGAAAAATTAAAAAATATGAAAGTCTAATAAAAAGAAAACCATGTAAGAATTCCTATAACTCCAGATATGAATGTCCTACTCAGTTAAAAAGCTAGTATTTTTGTCCATACATAAGCTATGGTTCTTTATTAGGAATATGGTAAGATAAAATCTTTAAAATATGCAAATCAATACTGCAATTAGACATCATTTCACCCCAATAAGAATGGCTATTATCAAAGACAGAAAACAAGTGCTGCCCAAAGATGTGGATAAGAGGAACATGTGTTCTCCCATGTTTACTGCAGCATTATTCACAATCATCAAGAAATGGAAAGAACTTCAGTGTCCATCAACTGATGAACAGATACAGAAAATGTGATACTCACACACAGTAGAATATTACGACAGCCATAAAAAGAATAAAATCCTACCATTTGCATCAACATGGGTTGAACTACAGATCATAATGTTAAGTGAAATTAAGTCAGGCACAGAAATATAAGTACTAGGGATCTCATTCATACAAGGAATATAAAAAAGCTGATCTCGGAGAAGTTGAGAATACAGTGGGATGGGTGTGAGAAGTTCTAAGTGCTACTGCACACCAACAATTAGATACTGTATCTTTCAAAAAAGCTAGTAAAAAGGATTCTGAATATTTTAAGAGTTTGAGGAGATAGGACTGATCTAAACATTACACATCGAATACATGTATCGGGGGCTGAGGATTTAGTTCAGTGGTTTCGCCGCCTGCTGGGCAAGCACAAGGACCTCAGTTCGATCCCCAGTACCAAAAAAAAAAAAAAAAAAATACATGTATCGGAACATCACATGGTACCCCATCAATATGTATAATTTTTATGTTTAAAAACAGTTTAAAAAACTTTTAAATGTGAAAAGATATGTATCAAAATTTAGTAGTATCAGCCTTTAAGATCACAGAACTGCTTTTGTTTTGATTCCAATTCCACCAAACCAATCTTTTGATAAGAATTTGGTCTGGCATAGCTTTTGGAAAGGATGTGTCATAAATTACTCTAAGTAGTCCAAGGCACATGAGAGTTTACCTCTTAATATTTTTATGTATTGACAAGTTGTTACGAGCATGACTTACTATGATTTGTATTGAGTGTTTCTAGACCTGAAGATCACTGATCCAGAAATGGAGTCACACCATGTACCCATGAATACCTTCCTACTAACAAGCCATGCCTGAGCATCTTTAAATACTGTCTGTTAAATTTACAAGGAATAGGGGCCGGGGATTTAGCTCAGTGGTCCTGCCACTTGCCTTGCAAGCTCAAAGACCCGAGTTCAATCCCCAGTACCAAAAAAAAAAATTTATAAGGAATGTTAAAATAAGGCTAAAAGCATAAGATGAAAGACAAGAGGAAATCATACACTGTAATACTTAAGAAAACAGTTAACATGTAGCCTATGAAGTTAGTAATTATAAAAACTACTGTAGAAATTTATCTTTCAGATTTTGGGGTGTTTTTTTTCAGATTTTAAGATTCTGCATGGAGAACAAAAACTAAATAACTCTAGGTAGGGTTTTAAAGCTACTGGTACCAGAAATAATAAGTGTCACACAACCAGAGATTATATTTAAAACCTGCATTTTATACAAACTGCATGATCACAGAATTCATAAATCAGTCTTTCAAAGCTGACTGCTCAGACTAGTATGCAAAAACAGATGTTCTGCAACAGATAACTCTGGTGCTGGCCCATTCTAATTCCAGCCACAGTTCTATACACCCTCAGACTTATTTCAGGGGGC